GAGGGCTTCTAGTGTCTCGGCCCCACTGGTGGACCTCCTGAGGGCCCCTGGTATTTTTGGCCATTGTGTGACACACAGTGTTGGACTGGATGGGCCACTGGCCTGATCCAACACTGGCTTCTCTTCTGTTCTTATGAATAAACATATGGAGCAGAGGTCCATCCGTGACTATTAGCCACAAGGTATAGATAGGAACTCTCGGTCTGGGGTAAGGGATGCTCTGTATTCTTGGTGCTTGGGGGGGGGGTCAACAGTGGGAGGGCTTCTAGTGTCCCGGCCCCACTGCTGGACCTCCTGAGGGCACCTGGCATTTTTGGCCACTGTGTGACAACAAAGTGTTGGACTGGATGGGCCACTGGCCTGATCCAATACTGGCTTCTCTTATGTTATTCAGGCATGGACGGAGAAGGAACAAACTACCCTGGAAAATGGCCTAATCCTCCCCCAAAAACGTGAGGGGGGGGTCTGCCCAGCCAGCTCGTCTGGGGCAGGGCGTGTCCTTCCCCCTGGCCCCTAGCGGACGGGGCACACTCCCAGGACGCTGGGGCCTTTCCCAGTGGCCTTCATGCCCTCCATCAGTACGGGTCAGGAAACCCCGACCAATCCCATGGGAAACCCGCCACGTCTAGCGTGGCTCCTGTAAGAGTCGCCAGGGCAAAGCTGGATGCACCAGTGGCCGGATGCGGTATCAGGCCGGCTTTTATCTGCCACACAAGTTCGAGGCATAAAGGGGCGCCAATGGAAACTGGGCAGTAATGCAAGATTGTTCTCTGGCAGAGAATTCAGGCCCCTTTGGGGAGAAGAGTGGCCTGGAATTGTTTTGCATCAATCAACGGAACGACTGGCAGCCGCCGACACCCGCCGGAACAAGGAATACTCATTGGACGTTTCTGATCCAACAGGAAGGCGGAGGCAGACCCAAAACCAACAGCTTTGTTTTGTAGGCAGAGAACTGGCCAGTAAGAAAAAGAAGAGATTGGGTTTATACCCCGCCCTTCACTACCCAAGGGAGTCTCAGAGCGGTTTACAGACTCCTTTCCCTTCCCCTCCCCACAACAGACGCCCTGGGATGTAGGTGGGGCCCAGAGAGCTCTTGAGAGAAACTGCTCTTTTTCAAGAACAGCTCTGAAAGAACTTGTGACTGACCCAAGGTCATCTAGCAGGTGCAAGTGGAGGAGTGGGGAATCAAACCCGGTTCTCCCAGATTAGAGTCCACTCACTTAACCACGACACCAGACTGGATGCAGCTACGGACTCCATTTAAGCCTGGGATCCCCCAACATTTTGAGCCAGCATCTGACATGGAGGGGGCACGCCACCACGAAATGTCTGCTGCAGGGAGAAGAGAGCCTCAGAGAGGCTTCCAACCTCCTTTCCCTTCCCTTCCCCACAGCAGACACCCTGTGAGGTGGGTGGGGCTGAGTGAGCTCTTGACAGAACTGCCCTTGAGAGAAGATTTCTGCCTGCCCTCGAGAGAACTTGTGACTCACCCAAGGTCACACTGGCAGCTGCACATGGAGGAGGAGTGGGGAATCGAACCCAGTTCTCCCAGATTAGAGTCTGCGCAGAGCCAGTCACAAAACTGTCAGGGATTGAGGTTAGGCAGAACTCTGACGGTAGCTCTTCAGCATTTCAAGCAAAAGCTCTCTATGTAGCGGGACGCTTTTAAAAATGAACATACAGTTTTAAAATGTTTTCAGGCATCCACGCAGAGACGTCTCTCTCTTGAGCTAGCTAAGAAACACTCCTCTGGCGTTATCTGTCCAATCTCCACTGGCCAATCAGAAGCTCTGCTGCCACCATCTAGCCACACCCACTTTCTAAAAAAACTCGGGTGAGCCCCAGGAAACGTGTCTGCGGGCACCCCATGGGGGATCCCCCCTTCAATCTAAGAACGTTTCCTCCTAGCTAGCCACAGGCCATCGCAGAAAACCCGGAGGCCGAGCCTGCTCGAGCACTCCGCTTTCAGCCCCCCACCCAATGTTCCCTCTAAGCTGTGGAGTCTTGTGAGCAAAACTTCTACTTTGTGAGTTACTGGCATTAAAGTTGTAAGCAAGCAATCTGGCTGCTGCATAAATTAATTTGCTCTGGAGCCCTCCTTCCTGAGCTAGGACGAAAAATCTGTGAGCTAGAGGCTAAAAAACTGTGAGCTAGCTCACACTGACTCGACTTAGAGGGAACACTGCCCCCACCTCCAAGGGGCTGCCTCTCCAAGCCGAGGGATTCCATGCAAATGCATTATGACTGAAGCGGGAACAGACGCCGCGGAGGGATCCCCCAGCTGAGTGAGAGCCTGCCAAGGGATTGACTGCCAGTCCTCACACCCACTTACAGTCTGTTCCAGCGACCGTTTTGTCACCCTCTCGCTGGCGTCGGCCACTACGACTTCTTTCCCTCGTCAAAGCACCCAAACCTATCTATAGACCACGCCGGCAGCTTGGCAGAGGCCTCCTCCTACCCGGGGCGGGCCATGACGTCACCTTTCCAGCAAGCGACTCCGTTGCCTCCATTGAGGCTGGGCAAGAGCGCCCAAAGGAGCATCTGCACGGAGCCCATAAAGAAAGCGGGGAGCAGATGAAAGCCTTGGGTCTGCTTAGCCTGGGAAAGAGAAGGCTTAGAGGGGACACGACTGCAGTCTTCCAATATCTGAAGGGCTGTCATGTAGAAGAGGGAGCGGATCTGTTCTCTCTTGCTCCGGATGGCAAGACTAGATCGAATGGGTGGAAATTATAAGGGAGTCGTTACCGGCTTCCTAACCGTAAGGGTGGTTGAGCAGTGGAACAGTCTGCCTCGGGAGGTGGTGGATGCTCCTTCGCTGGATATTTTCATGCGGAGGCTGGACGACCATCTTCCGGGTATGTTGTAGGGCTCTCTTTTGGCTGTGCTCCTGCAGAGTGCAGGGGTTGGACTAGATGACCTGCAAGGTCCCTTTCAACTCTCACATTCTATGATTCTATGTAGAAGATGGAGTGGATCTATTCTCTCTCACTCCAGATTGCAAGACTAGATCTAATGGGTGGAAATTACAAGGGAGTCGATATACCGGCTAAATATCAGGAGAAACTCCCTGACTGTCA